GAGGCATGTTTCACACCACTTGGGACTTGTCAGCTAGATTTATCTGCCTCTCAGTGAGTGATATTGTTCCCATTCGGACTCGAGCCCAAGACAATCACTTCAACAACTACCAGGCCGATGAATCTCAGTGGGTAAGACGTCAGTCACTGAGAGATAGGTACATCCAGTTGACGAGTCCCATATGGGAAGAAAAGTGCTTCCTGGACCCCACTAGAAAGTCACTACTCATCATTAGTGAGACCTACTTTAATAAGATGACATTTCTTAAAACTTTGGTTGGCTACAAAAACTAAGACAAAAGTAGATCAAGTGAATTATCGGTTCTTAGTTTTTACTTTTATGAACTGAGAACATTTTCATAAATTTTAATAAAAAAACTTGTTGTTTTATCTTAAACGACTTTGTAGTAAATTTTCTCTTCATCTTATTGTATATTTAACCTAGAGATTTTAATAGAAGTAAAATTAACACCAATAATGATGAGAAAACCGTTATTCATAGATAGATGACACGTTTCTTTTCAATTAAAATAATAAAATATGGTACATTTTCAAATTTTTTTAGTGTTTCTATTGTGAAATGAAAGTCTGTTTAATAATAAAGAAACTAATTGGTGAATTATTGTTTTAAACTATTTAATAAAGCATATTTATTTTACTAACAATGTATGAGAGATACTTAAAACTATTTTACTACAATTTGGAAAAGATTTAACACTTCTACCATTGTATTCTGTGTGGTATATGTTATGTTTAAGATCGAATTTCAACAAAAAAATATACATATGAATTAACAAGTGAAATGAGATTAACTGGCTAATTATAAAATAGAGTAAGACAAATAGTTGGATATAATTCGATAGACAAACTCAATTGATTTCCTTCATTATTTGGTTACTGATATGACCCCAAACTAATTGGGTGTACATTTCTATTATTTGATAATTAACCTGCATAAAAATTATTTTGACCTTTATTGAACTTAAAAAAATTGTTTTGATAATACAAACAGTAAAATAAAACTTATTTATGTGCTTGTAATTCTCCATTGTTGTTGCTGAATAGAATTGTTCGACCTCTGATGGCATATGGGCCCCTATTTGGATGACTCGATATTGCCTGAATGTTAATTATGATAATTTACTTAGTTGTGGCTAGCAGAAAAATCTAGATACGCGTTTTGTCCTATATGCCACTCGTCGGTTGGATGTATCTGCACCTTAGTGAGTGGTTGTTCCCACTGAGACTTGGACGTCGTACCATTCGTTTCAAATGCCAAGGTGTTATCCACTGGGGTATGGAGGCATGATAGCAACCTCTTGTACAGTGCTTATTCGTTATTACTATTTATACATATCCTTGTAATTCTCCGTTGTTTTTCTGGGTTGAAATGTTCGACCCGTAAGGGCAATATGGTTTCCTATACGGATGCCTCTATCGACTGTTTTGCTCTTTCGGAGTTGAGCCAGGCCATAAGTGGTGTACCCGGACAAATTCAGCTGATACAGCCAAATAAGTTTACATTGCCTGAATTTGTCTAGCGGACTTGGATGCAGTGGTATACCTAAAATTGGACAACTAACTTTTAAATGATTTACGAATTGCATGATCCTCGTTGATATCTCTGACAACTGAGTACCTTGTTTCCAACTACTCAACTATGGTTTCAACAAGGTTTTCACCAGAAACCGTTCAACCAAGATCGCAAACTATGATCTGTGGTACAAAGGTGTCATAAACTGGCAAAATGTCAAGATGGAGCGTGCAGTTTGCCAACTGCCAATTGTGATTGTTTATCCTAATTGCTTTATTTATGTAGTATATAAATATAAAAAGAATTCGTCAAGTGATTATCCCTAAAATTCACTACTTAATTTATACTGGGTGGTGATTGAAGGTGAAACGGAAATTTGAACCGCTTCAGTATTCGAACCATAAACCATCGACTTTCCAGTCACATGCTCTAACAAATGAGCTACGAGGTCCAGCTGCTGACCTGATTTTTATTTCGCTTCAATCACAAAGGATTTTGCTGACTACCATGTCAATTCATGACATGTTTCTACCACTTGATCGTATTCACACTGGCTGTCCAACTAACCAAGACATCTTATCTTAGTCAAAATCTAACTGAATTAGGATAAAAGGGAAAGCATCATACTGATTATGTTTTTGACTATCTGACATAGCTGAGGTTTAGCCTACTTGTATTACTCATACTGGGTGACTATTGAAGGGGAAATAAAAATTGGACCATGGCCAGAGTAATTTTCATTTCACTTTCAGTCATCATCCTGTATAAATATAAGTTCTCCCAAACCACGGGTATCTCAGATAGTCAAAAATTATTACTTAGTTAACTAACAGTAGATCGACGGCTAAAGGTAAATAATTTAGGTGAAGGATTGACAGTAAAGTAAATCTATGACTTCAGATGAAAACTTGACTTAAGTGTAAGAAAAAGATATTTAAGAAAAACAATAAAAAGTTTGTGGAATATGCAGGAAGGATGAAGAATAGTTAATTATTCGTAGATCTGACGTAATCTGACAATTGTATATCTTTAGGTTAAAAAGTATCTGAGTACTTTGATTTATTTATAAGTAGATGTAACGAATCTTGTCCAGTGAAGCGAATAAACACGCGAACACATAAAGGTCGAGCAATTCGGTACTGTATTGCAACAAGAAATTACAAGTGTCAATAAATAACAACTGATACCCGTTGGAAAAGAGAGGGCTATTGTGCCCCAATGGTTTAATGGATAACGATCTGGTGTTTGAAGCGAAGAGTACTGGGTTTGAGCATTAAGAGGAACAACATCCGGCTGACGAGTCTCGAAATGAGATGAAATCTGCGTTCTGGATTCCTTTGCTAGTTATCACGATCAACAGAACACACATGACCTTGACGAGGTTTCCTAGTAGCGGTAGTTAGTCCAGGTGCTAAATCTACTATAATTAAGATATGCTCAGTTTTAATAATTGTATACTATTTCATATGACCCAAGTTTACTCAATCTTCACTATTCATAAGCTTACGTAATCGCTACAGTTCTGTTTGTTAATATTCAAAACCGAGAATACTGTGAGGAAAAATTTAAACTTAGGCGCTTTCGAGTCGTTTGTAAGTGGGTTTTAGGGAACATGAAGGTTATGTTAATAGGTTTCTAAATATTGGTTAGTTGGTTAATGCTGATCTACTTATTAGCTAATTTTTTAAGTTGTTATTCATCGAAGACTGACATCAGTTGGAGGAACAAAGGAAACCTGGGAGCACTGGACAGCTGTTTGGTCCTAGTATGGGACTCCTCAGCAGTGCGCACCCACGACCCCACCAGCAGGGATCGAACCCGCGACCTTCAGGTTCCGCGACCAGCGCATTACCATTGAGCCACTGGGTCAGAATCCAATGCTCCACTGCTGAGGAGTCCCATACTAGGACGAAACAGCTGTCCAGTGCTCCCAGGTTTCCTTTGTTCCTCTAACTGATGTCAGTCTTCGATGAATAACAACTTAAAAAATATTTCCAAATCTCCACAACCCCCTCAAAATTTATTAGCTAATTATCATTATCTTAAGAATAACTCGCCGAATAGATGTACTCATTGTTAACAATTGGTGCTTTCATTACAACTTGCCAGTGCAAACTTAGCATAAGTCATATACACTTTAGTCATACATTACAAGGAGAATATTAAAAAACCCTCTTTTTAATATATTTCGTTCTCATATTTACAATATTTTTGGTCGAGTTCCAAACTACAAACTGATAAAACGTAACACTTAAATCTTCTTACAGCTAGTAATTTTTAAACGACAGTTTTTAAGTTCATCACCTAACTTAATACAATACTGGTAAAATTTACTGACTGTTATAGACTATAATAATATATTTAATGAGGGATCAGGGTAGGTTTATTGACTGTTCACTAAAGAGCAACCAATGTCATATTGTCTAGTCCTAAGTGCTCACCGAATTCACGTTATCACCACATAACTAGAGAACTTACCGTCGCCTTGCACTTCGGTAAATATTAAGTAGATGGAAGCCATCGGCAGGAGATTATGAACGTGGATTTAATGCTTGTTGGCACCAATCATTAGGATGAACGCAATCTCGAGGGAATTGAGGCCGCCTTGGAAATTCGAAATCACTTCATCTAGTACTACAGTCAGAGGCATTGCCAACACGGTTATGTGAAATAATAACATTCTCAACAGTCATTGCACTTAATTAATAAAATCAAACAACCTAACTCGGCACACGTTTACAAATTAGGATATGACCCTAATGTATGATGCACAAGCTTACGACAGTATTCAGTTGTCTAGGCTAAAGTATATGGAGGCCGACTGGGACTTAGGATCCCTTCATTGAAAGTTGAATACTATGAGTTTTCAGTAGTTTCTACCAAATAATTTCAACAGAAATATACTTCTGACTTTATGAGCACTTATGTGGGATTCACCACTAACTCACAGTTGGAAGAACCTATGAAAACCTGGGAGGACTGGACAACTGTTTCGTTATAGTATATGACTCCTCAGCTGTACGCAGCCATAATGTCGTCAAGAATCCATCTCAAGACCTTCGGGTCTCGCTCACGGCGAACGCGCTAACTGTTCAACGTAAACTGTGGACCAATAATTTCCGACTCATTGGCTAACTGGTTAACTCATTCACTGCAAGCGAGACCTGAAGTTTCTGAAATCAATCCCTGACGAGTCGTGGGTAGATGCTACTGAGAAGTCCTATACTAGTAGTAAACAGCTATGCAGTTCTCTCAGGTTTTCAATGGTTATAAGTTTCACACAAGTGACTAAAAAACTAGAAGAATTTTTCCACTGAACTTATTTGGCAGGAACTTATGAAAGCTCACATAATGAAATGGAAATATTTTTCGTTGACTTGTGATACTTAATTCTTATTCACATTACATTTTGTTACTGTTTTAGGCAATATCAGTAATCTTCTCTTTATTTATATTTTCATAATTAGGTATAAAAGTTCACATTGTACCAATGGAATTAGACATGAACAGAACAGCTGATTTCATAATTGGAATTATTCTTGCTCGACACTATGATATCTTGGATATATGTTCAAATGAAGAAAGTCGAGCTGTTAAGCGACCAGCATCTTCACCATCACAGTCTACAATAAATCATTCAGTAAAAACAAACATGTACTTAAATTCTAACAAGAAAGGGATTATGCATAAACCTATAATGAATGATCAAAAAACAGAAAATAATGAATTAACTAATTCAATTGTTGAGACAAGCAGTGCTTCAAATATACGAATAGGTTTAATTGGTTTAGGTAAGCTGTCATATTATTGACTGAGTACCTCTTGTTATATGTGTGGTTTACTCGATTTCTTTACTTGGTGACATCCATGTACTCATGCACTACTAATGAAGGAAACGAAGGCATTGAGACGTAGGAAGGAATGCTTATTATTCACAGCTTGTACAGTAGTCATCAAATATTGTACACTTTCTACTAAAACAGTCATTTACACAATGTTCTTCATTTCCTCTTTTGCTTGTGTCACGATCTGCTCTCAAAACGCCTATGTAGTCTTTTGCGTTTCTGTGGGCAGAATCTTTAAGCATTGCTGGTTATTCCCAATGATTTCCGCCGCTCTCTCAACATATACTACTTATATCCATTCTAATCAGCAACGCTTACTACACTAAGAGGATTTATTTCAATAATTAATACTTCAATGTCTCAAGTCAGCTTATAGCTATTTTTAACAGATACTAGACAGTATGTATAATGTAGTATATTTTAACAAAAGTTAATTCGAGTTTTTGTTTGCAAATTCTTGACTACAGTGCGATTCACTTTCTGATGAAATCTCCGTTCTGATGAACTGACTTTGAATAGATAGACATTTCTGTGGAAGATTACATTGCCATGAATGGAGCTTAATAGGAAACTCAAGTTGAGATATTTGTTGCCAGTTCCGTATGATTGATTGTATCTAAACGGAATGCAGTTAGATAAAATTGGATAGAAAGTGGGGTCAGTTTATCGGCTACTTCAAATAGTAATTGAATTATGTTAGGTCATCTATTCATAGGAATGTTGATATGGCTATTAATAAAGAATCAAAGTGGAATAGGACTGAGATCACATACCTACCGTCATATTCAAGCTCACGGATTCTTTTATTTGTTAGTTAGTGAACTGTAACGGTTATCATACAGGTCCTTTGGGGGTACTGAAAAACTTTTTTCATGCCTTTTTATGAGCCTTGTGTCAGAAAAAGTGATTGAATAAGTATTCATGTACAAATCGATTTTTTATTTGACAGTTATATATGTATGTTTCACATTTTAGTATAACAGAATTAAAGTTGACTACAGACTAATATCATTATAAGTTAGTGACTACTATTCAAAGTTTGGGATGGAAAACATCGGAAAATTAGTTGAATAGAGGCTAAAGGCAGGAACCCCTGCCTCACCAAGATTTCATGCTTTTTGGCACTCGTTAGTAAGATGTATTTACAACCTAGACCGAACTGATATCCCATTCGAGATTCGACGACTTTCAGGGCTTCCTACAAATTACCTCCATCCAACTAACATTTGTTAAGGTGTCGTTATATGATGCCGTCTTTGCTTGGACTGAATTGATCGGTCTCTGTTGGTATATGGGCTTCTGTGCGGATGCCTCGATATTGCCTGCGCTCTAACTGTATTAGTGATGGATCGTGGCTCGGTGGTGTAGTGGAAAACGCGCTGGTGTTTGAAGTGATCGCTCTAGAGTCCGAATCCCGGTGGGAACAACATCACTAACTGGGAAGCAGGTACATTCAGCTGAAGAGTCCCAAGTAGGACGAAATGCGCATCCTGGATTCCACTGCTAGCCACGATCCATCATTAATTTATTAAGGTGTATTGCGATACTGAGTCGCCTAGTCTGGTGGCTATATTGCAAAATGATTGACAGAAGTGGATCACCACATGGGACTAAACAACATGAAGTGGGTTACCCTCTATTGACCGATTAGAAATCGAAATGCAATTAACAAACACTGTGTACTATATCTAACTTGGGGATGCTTATGATACTACCCGGTCGCCCATACTTTGGTGCGCGCAGCGCAGTTCGAACCCTTAAAGCATCAGCTGAGAGTCAAGTACTTAGGCCAATGAATCACAGCTTGAGGCAATTTTATTTACATAATCAGAGGGTTCATAGATATGTGCTTCTCAGAAGACTTAAAGTATAATCCAAGAGCTGTCCAATACTCCCTGATTTCTGGTGATTTCCGAGATGTGTCCACTGAAGTGGAACTGCTATCAAATAGACTGATGTATCAAATAAAGTCTTACTGAAGTTTACACAGCCATTTAGACATTTCTGTTGGTGCCTAATTACAGCAGCAAATGGAAATTATGTGGGTCACTTGACTTACACTTGACTAAAAAATAATAATCAAGTTGCAGTTAAATGAACCGAACAAATAACTGTCAGTCTGTGTATTTTTCATATACCATATGGGCGGAGAACCTACTTGGTAATCATAACATGCTTTTCTAAGTTACTAATGTGCAAATTCAGTATACGATTTAGCTTTTGTCACTGACTGACATCATCTGGAGAACGATTGAAAACCCGGGAGCACTGGACACTGTTTCATCCTAATGTGGGATTCCTTCCTGGTACGCACTTACAACAATACCAGGGATCGCGGTCTTCTGGCTCCACGAAGAGGACATTTCCACCGAGCCACCTTGTTGGTCCACATCTTCTGACTCCTGTTAGTTCGCTACATTGTGTGGTCATTCGATGCCAAGGTTGAGTATCTGTCCTCAAGATTGAATATGTTTTCCTCACCAGTAACGACTTATCATTAGACCTACCGAAAATCACCACCTTGAATTCAGTCAAATCCCTACAGACCTTCAAATTACATTCAGAATAGTTTTACACTAAGGAAATCACTTCTTTCTTAATGTGTTTCTACGCGTATTTCATTACTGTTTACTTTGAATTTTATACTGTAAAATAGGTCCGCTCAGTCTGGGTGTTATACGTCGACTAGAGAAATTCAACTATACTATTCGAGTGTTTGATATACACTTACCTGATGGTATGGAAACTGCTCTAGATTTGAAATGCACCGAAAGTCTTGAAGAAATTGTTTCGCAATCTGATTGGATTATAATCATAAATGAAACGAGTACTATAAGTAATCAGTATCATCAGGGTTATTCTTCACTAACTATGGATAAGATTTTCAATGATAAGATTGTTACTGAAATTAAAACTGGTAAGTTACAAATTTTGCCGTATATGCGTACATGTTTTGAAAAAACCTCATGAGTTGTCTTGATACTAGTAGTTTTCTGTTGATATACTGGGTGGAATTACTTGACCTCTGCAAGCAGATGGGCTCCTATGTGGATGTCTCAATGCTGTCAGGTATTCATAATGTTATATTCATCTTGTTTAATAGCAGTGGGATACAGAACGTGCGTTCTGTTCTGTTTAGAATTCGTCAGCTGGATGCACCTGCATCCCAGTGAGTTCTCGCTGAGACTCTAACTCAGTACTCATCGTTTCAGACTCCAAACAGGACGTAATGGGACTTCCTGAATTCCACCGCTAGTCACCACGATGAGCATACTATCATGAATATTTGGCGGTATCGAGGCATTCGTGTAGGAGCCCATCTGCCAACAGAGGTCGAGAAATTCGGCCCGGTGAAGTATAAGTAACGGAACAACAACTAATAGCTACAGTACAAGAGGTGTCTATCGTACCTCAGTGGTCTAATGGGTAACACTTTGGTATTTGAAGCGAAGGATACTGTGTCCGAGTCTTGATGGGAACAACATCACTCATTAAGGTGCAAGCATATCTAGCTTACTAGTCTCAAACGGGACGAAACGCGTTCTGGGTCTTACTGCTAGTCATCAAGATGGATGAAAATTTCTCTTTAGTGTCCGAAACAAATGATTTGACGCATAACAAGTCTAGGAATTAAAAGGTGGTAATTCAACACCACTTATTTGAAATCATTATGTGTCGTTTAGAGCTTATCTGTGTTTATTAATCATGAGAAAGTATCGCGCGCTTTAGAAAACTCCAGTTTTCAGTGATGCTTCTACACTTTTTTTCTTTAAGTCAAATTACTTGTTCGGTATGGCCATTAAATGGTGTAACTATGAAAGTAAACATTTATAACTTCAGTTGTTGATATTCTCTCAATAGAAACTGTTCACTGGTAATCATAAAGTAAGGTTGAAAGTTATTGAAACTTGACGTTCAGAAGATCAGTAAAATTTCCGCAACTGATTGAAATCTACAATGTCACACATAAAAAGTGACAGAGAGAGAAAATACCAAGTTGGTGTACTTCATTATAGCTACACATCAGGCGGTCTACTGGTGTGCATGCTAACATGTCAAAAATACAGTCGGCCATTTTAGTAGGACAATGACTAATCATGTACACTTTCTAACAGAAACATAGATTAATCGCACATATCAAATCCATAATTATACAAAGTGGTCATCAAGCAGATAGTCTCAACACTGCGATTCAAATTAGTAGATATCAGGTATCTGAAGGCAAACGGAATCTCCTAGCTTGCTAGTTACTTTGGGGAGTGATCTATGAGATTCCGTTAGGACTTTTTGTTCGACAACATTAAATTTATAGTTCTACCAATGGTCGATCAGTGTATGTAATCTACTCCTTCATGAGGTCTATTGTGGCCTGAATTGTGTAGTGTTGAGGTCTCAGTCAGCCAAAGTGAATTAACCTAGCGCTTATTGGTCACTAGTTTCGAGAGCTGATTTCTGAAGTCTTAACCGGTAGAACCGACCAATTTGAACATAAGGACAGTTACGCAACGATGATATTAGATGGAGGTCACGCTGTATCATGAACCAATAGAAGCGTGAAATATGAACCTTTGGATTCCGACCCAGTGGCCGAATGGTAGCGTGGTGGCCGTGGAACCTGAAGGTCTTTGATTCGATCCGTGGATAGTCGGGGTCATGGGTGTGCGCTGTACTGGAGTCGTATCTGAGATGAAACAGCTGTTCATTGCTCTCAGGTTTCCAACGTTTCTCCAACTGATGCCAGTCCATGATGACTACCAATGTGAAATCAACTAATAAATCTCCCCAAACATCTGGATTGTAAAACATCAGTTCGACAATTTGAGACCGCCGTGGTTTGGCAGATGTGCATTATTGATACTGTGTAGTGAAAGAATGTGAAATGGAAATATGGGTCACGGTAAGATTCTAACCAGCTACCTCCGGGTTACCTGCTGTTGCTCTACCAACAGAGTTATGAGATCCAGCTACACAGCAGATCTTAATGTAACTTCAGTCACCAGGGGTTTAGCTCGACTGCCATGTGAATTCATTATTGTCTACTATCCGTTCATCATATTCGCACTGGTTGTCCATTTGTAACTTTTCATCTCCTGATGATCACATAATTCAGCTGGGAGATCACCGGGCAGGAAACCTGGAAGTCAGTGATTCCAATCCTGTCATGACCTAGATTTTTACTTCGTCTTCAATCATCATCAAGTATCGATAAGAGGATTACGGTCAATTTATCTTGAAGTTAATTTTAAACAATATCACAGTCATTTGTATTCGCTTAAAACATGAGTTATTTTTCAACTTTAGGTAGTCACATAATATACATAAATCTTCTTGAGGATCTACCAGTTGGTTTGATAACATTGAACTCTATCCTTCATTCTGGTCGTGTGCGAGGGGCATATGTACTAATGAGAAAAACATGCCAAAAACTGATTGGTAAGCACAATCAATAACCAGTTCATAGCGCATTCAAGTGAAGTATTATTAGCTTTCCTAATCACTTAAGAACAGTTACCTAGAGAGTATTCATTACGTTTAACCAGATATAAGCATCAATGTAATAATGAAGTTTTACGATCCCGCTAAGTTTATACAAGTTTTAACTTGTCAAAAAATTGTATTGACTGGTATCGAAATAGAGAAGGTTCTCTTGGTTTAATATAGAACTTCTTATAGGGACAAGACCGCATCACATTTATTCTTTTGCTGATACAATTAGCAATAGAAATTCCTCCTAGATATATCCTAATACTGCAATCTGTATAATTTTGATGATATATTTGGTATTTGACCAGAGATTATAGGAGCTGAGTTTAGCGTCTGAAGAGGTTAACACTTAGCTGAAATTATCCGAAAGACATCAACAACTAAGATTTAGATATATTTCGAATACAATTGTAGAGTTTGAAAAAGCGTGTGCCAAGTACCTTAATATTATTCTGCGTTAACTACCTAAAGAGAAGTACATTCATGATTTTATCCCTGCATCTTTCTAAAGAAGTAAGCTGGTAACAAAGACCAGTCGATTAGTTTCACTACTGACTGCTTATGTATCTTCGTTCGCTTTCTGCTTTATTCTTAATATTGATCTAAAGAAGTACTATTTTGTAGCTTAATCCAAAGGTAATTTCATTATAATTTAAAATCTTCTTTAAACAACTCAATTTTAATTGATACTATGTAAAGGCTTACTTGTTTTTAAATAGTTTTCACTGTGGATACCAATTCTTCATAAACCACTGATTGGGATACCGTTCCATCCTCCTTGGTGAATTGCTACACGATAAATTTGCTGTAATTCCATTTAGAAGCTGCGATGCAAAGCATAAACTAAATTGGTTTTGAGAATAAGTAATCCGTGGTATTGTTGTATGATAGTTACCGTATATCACTGACTGAGTGAAATAATAAATAGTGGACACATCGATTTTATTCAATGGTTGAGTGGTGGCAGGTTTTTTATGAGACCAAACGGTTAAAGGCTGAATCTCTCTACTTAGCGACTGAATACTATAATTTAAACTCATCATTGAAGATGTTTCGAATTTATTGTAATCACTAGTAAAGTTATGCCAAACTGAAGTTGTAATTAACCAGAGTTAACGGACACCAAGTGGTGAATTGAACCAAATGATTTCAATTCTAGGGAAATTATCAAGGGATTTCAAAATTTTTGTATTTGTTCTACTGCTTTGGACCCTAAAAATAAATAAATAAATCACTTCATGTTTGTATTTGGTGTTGGCAGTCAACCGACAGAAAGCCTTGTTCAAAACCAGTTTTATATTCAGTGGAAATTATTAGGGTACATGTGGACCCATGAAAAGATTGACGATCAGATGGTGATTAGAATCTGTCAGAAAGTTGACCACGAGGCTACTCAGAGTAAAACCGATCACTTTTTCCTTTTTGTTTGGTAGCCATATGATGAAACTGGTTCAATAGACTTTAACCATTTCTGAATAATCAAAACTAGATAGCTATTTAGGTTACTAACTAGTGACTAGTTCGTGTATATATCATTTTTTGCCCTCTAGTTTCAACTGAAAAAAGCCTCTTCATACCTTGTCACATCTAATGGAACTATATATGAAATACATAGACGGTAAATAGATCACTAAATTCTGTATCTTACTTTACAGATGATCTTAATATTCAAAGGCCACCAAATCTATTTTGTTTACACAAGAAACTTGGCAAACTTCAAGTACAGTCAACAGAGCTACGTAGAAGTGTAACTCAATTTTTAAGAAAAGACATTCTGAGAAGGTCTATTTTGAAGTCTAACAAGAATGAAATAACTGAGAGGATGGAAACCAGATGTAAACTGAAACAGTCTTCTTCATGTTTATTGGCTGATTCAAAAATAGATTTGGTATCAAAAATGCCCAAGAAATTTACAAACTTCGCGAAAGAAATAAGTAAGTTGTTAAACTATACTTTGTTTTTCAGCCACTGACTAAGTTGAGTAGTGTAGTGAGATTACGTGGCTATCGTTTGATGAATGTCGTATTTCAGTAGCCGAAAGGGAAATACTGTGGTATTTGAAGTGATGTGTACTAAGTTAGAGTTATAGTGTGGACACTGTCAACTGGAGGTAGTTATATCTACCTGGTGAGTCTTGAATAGGATGAAACACATGTCCTTGATTCTACTGCTAAGTACTACACATTTTTAACATCTGTTAAAGCTAACTACTTAGAAAGCTGCTTAACGTGACATAATCCCACTACTGTCAAAGTTACACTCTATCCAATCATTGCTAAAATACAATAGGCTTGTTTTAAGCTTTTACAGTAATCTAATATGTTGAGTACCATTGCAAATTGCGCTTGATTTCAATTTATTGAACAAAATAATACCTTCCAGACTTATTATGTAACAATGTTACTAAAATTCAGCACAAGGAGTCTGATTATAACATTTACTGCAGAGTGAACAGTGGTCTGTTATTAATGACATAATCTTAGTTAATTTATCTTAAAGCAGTGCCTAATGGATATTTGGTTGTTTCATGGTACTTTAATTTGATTTAGAACCAATTACCTTAGGACACGAGTGCTCATTCATTGTAAATGAAAAAGGTGTTCTCAATTCTAGACGAAACAATATTTCATTTCTGCAATGAGCTAGGCATTTAACTAACCTTTGACAATACTACTCTACCAAGCGCCATTATTGGCCAATGCATTACTACCGGGGTCCGGACGAAACAAGTTGAACTAACCATTTAAAGATAGGTTTCATCGAAAAGAGGTATTGTTTAAAAGAGTTAGTGAGTTCCAGACAGTAATGGATTTCTGTTTCTGCTTAAAACAACACCTGTGGACAGTATAATTCATCAACCATTTTCGACATCATATATTCAGATCTTATAATAAATAAGGAGTTACTAAACTGCAGGTAATGGAGTACTATCTGATTTTATTCGTTGTTTTTCAAAAGAAAAAGAAATACCCTAACATGTGAACTAACAGAGTACTTAGCATCGTTACTGTGTCCTCTTAGGAACCGTTCAAATTCCAGACTAGGAAACTCTTACGAGTTAAAATTAGGACTTAATGACTTACACATAGAAGAGGATGAAAAAATGGTTAGTTTCCATACAACAAGTCTTTATGCTAAGGTACCAATCAATATGGCACTGGAAGCAGTCAGAAGACAACTAACTATTGACACAGAACTAAGATATCGGTTCATGAAATCATATTAGGCATACAATTGTGCCTGACCTCCACAGTCTTCAAGTTTCAGAACAAGATATATAGTCAAACAGAAGAAGTAGCAATGGGATCACCGATATCCTCAATCGTAGTATATATATTTATAGATAATTAGGAAGACATGGTTTTACAAACGTTTAATCCTGCACCTAAGATATGGTGGCGATATGTTGATGACACATTTACTATGTTGAAGTCGGAAAATATCGATAATTTCCCTACACATATTAACTCAGTAGTAGGCCCAATCTAATTGACTTACGAGGTAGGAAATGAAGAAGGAGAATTACCTATGTTGGATCACAGGATAAAACGAAGGGCAGATGGTGGTTTGGATAATGCCGTCTACAGAAAACCAACACACTCTAACAGGTATCTAGACTACAAGTCATCCCATCCAATTAACGCCAGATAAGGTAGGTTTAGTCAAATATATAAATCACGGGGCTAGAAAACTCACTAGGCTATGCAAGGAGCTAAACAGGGATCTGAAACAAGTGAAAGAAGCTTTAATAACTAATAATTATATAACTGGCTGGCTTGGGAACCGACAGAACTAGTTCAGCGAAATAATCTAATCTATCGAATTCCATGTAATGGGATAAAACCACTGTACTCAAGTCCAGTATAATTACATGAAGAGAGAGAAGTTGATTACTAAATCTTTGTTCATGGAATAAACCAACATCAGTATACGGAACAGGAATGATCCAACACGTATACCAGAGATACGGAAACTTTTACTACCAATAGAAAAAAGAATAAGAGGTGACAGGACTATGAAAATCACATATCGAAAGTTTTGTGATGACACTGGTGTGATTATGAGCAATAATTAATGCTTGAAACATCATTCAGTAAACAATACTGTATCATTGTGTGTTATAAATCAAATAAACAAACCTAATATGAGATTAAATTCAATCACAGTGCCTAAGTTTTTTTTCACCTATCTGAATAAAACGGGTATTGTTTAGAAGCCTAACTGGAAACTTTGACTTATATACCATGATTTCCCCTTCATCGACTATTATGATTAAAGTCATTACTTTATTCTTCTTTGTTGAATTCTAGCTTCCAATGAAATCAATAAATATCTTACATTTGGTATCAATTCTATAGTTACACCCAGACATTTAAATCCATGTGATACGCAACCTGAAGAACTGTGAAGTTATCAGAATCCTTTTTACTCAAGAAGATATTTTGTGAATAATATACAGTCTGTAATTTACGCATCACAAACTAATTGTACATATAGAATGCTTTTTTTTCATAATTTTACCAGTTAAGTATTTCTTATTATTATGTATTCTGTTTGGTTTTTTAAAGAATCTTTTCCTTTATCATTCTACAGTATTTATCAACAATAGTTAATTAGTTAATTTATAATTATTTATCCTTTTCTTAGCTTAACCAAAAAAACCCAACAATTATTTCTTTAATTTGGAAGTTTTGTGAGGATTTTATTGACTTCAGATTGGTATTCATCACGGACTAACATCAGTTGGAGAGACGGTGAAAACTTGGGAGCACTGGACAGCTGTTTCGTCCTAGTGTGGGACTCCTCATTAGTGAGTACCCATGACCCCGACCTACTAGCGATCGAACTAAGAACCTTCAGGTTCTGTAGCTAGCACATTGCCGTTAAACCAGTTGATGTCAATTTTTGACGAATATCAGCCTGAAATTTAGTTATCCTTTGACGAGCAAACAGGTTATCATTCCAAAAACAACACTTTCATTGTTATTTCTTTTGAGTACTGTATATATCACATATCCTAACAGTAAATTATAATGTGCTTGAAACTGATTTCAGAAGTTTGCTTCTTTCTTTTGTTCTCACATTCATTTTCTGTTTACCTTTGTTGAATTAGGCTGACATTGTTGCTGGCCTAATGATCGTCTACAATGGGAAATCTGTAAAGGAATCCTACTACCATTATTATTTTCGTTTCTTTGCTAATACGTCTATGACCAGGTGATGGTAAAATTTAGACTCATAGGTAATATATAAAAAACATACAAAATTCCAGGGATTATACATAACAGAACAACAACTTAGGTCTTGTTCTACTCAAAAACCATTAGAACGATACCTCTGAGTTGTCTTTTTCGTGTATGCCTCTGACATTAAAGTTCTATTAATGATTGATGAATACTTTTAAAGAAATATTTTCCCTTCTTAAATTCAAAAGTATATCTAATGGTGTTAATTGTGTGCTTCTGTTGATAAATTTAACAGTTTCGTGTAGTATTGGTAGTAGTAGCAGCAACAATAAGTGATGATGAATGAACTAGCACTTTTAAATTCTTAGTTCTGGCTTTAAAAGACTCTTACGTTAAACATACCTATCCTTTCCAGCGTTCTAGCTGTTCCACCAAGATCTTTGAGAAGTGTTAACTACCTTGCTTTGAAGAAATATGATTGTTAAACGATCAATTTATCGAAACGATGCCTTTCTAAAGAAATATTTCACTCTTCCTAATAATTGTTGTGGTACTTTAAAAGCGCGAAAAAACTTAGTATTTCTGTAGTTTTTATGATGATAAAGCTTGTCAGTGATGTCACGAAGTCGCATTCAATACACTCACCGTATCTTATGTTGGTACTGGTCTTCAATAATGCAACATCCATCAGGTTTATGCTTCTACTGCTTGCGGTAACTTAGGCTCATAAGAAACTTTTAACGAATATATACCGAATTAAACAATGATAATCGAATCACTTAGGTAAGGCTTTCACGATCGACAGATTTATACATTCAAACAAGAAAGTATTTTCAGCTTCTGGTTTGACCTCCTTACAATGTGAACCAAAATAACACAAGATTAACATATATATATATATATATATATATGCTGGGTGATGATTGAAGGTGCAATGAAGATTTGAACCGCAGCCGGATTCCAATCAGCGACCACCGAGTTTCTGGCCCAATGCTCTACCAAATGAGCATCGGGGTTCGACTCCTGAACACGTCTTTATTTCACTTCAGTCACCATGGGTTTCGCTCGACTACCATGTGGATTCGTGGTACGTTACTACCACTCGATTGTCAGTCATGACTTCTCATCGCAATGTAAATCTAACTGAATTAGAATGAGAGGGGGAGTTTAGTACTGATTATCACTTTGACTGTCTGAGATATCCTTGATTTGAAAGACTAGTATTCATACCAGCAGCGGTTCAAATTTTCATTTTACCTTCAATCATTACCCAGTATAAAAACTAATCTACCAAGCCAAGACTATCTCAGATAGTCAAAATGATATATATATCACTACGATTGATGATTCGCTTGAGGTAGCGCTGGTAACAGAAGTATTCAAAGCGGCATCAAAGTCCCGATTTTAGTGTCCTAGGAACTAAGGTCCAAGATATTGGTGCTAACCACCCCTCAGCTTCAGGATGATAAATTTACGAATGATCTGCTAATTGCACAGTTTATGTTGGCATTTCTGACAGTTGGGGAGCTTGTTTTCAACTTTCCAACCGTGGTGTCTGAAAGATTTCTTTGAGAAGTCACCCAGTCAAGATCACAAGGTGTGATGTCGGATAAACGAATATCATGAACTAGTGAAAGATACTACTACTGAAAAACTTGAGTGGTTAGTAACTAGTCCGACTGATATTTTGAATTCGCCAGCTACATTAAAGTGGTCTGAATTTCGGATAGCCATTTCACTCGTTCGAAACTGACCGCATCAGCCTGAACAAATTCAGCTGATACAGAGTAATCTTAGATAGTATTGTTCATAATATATGCACAAACAACTCATCTTCATTGAATAAACTTCGATCAACCTAAGTCAAAGTACCTGAGAAATATATTGCGCTTAACTTTAAATAAGTGAAAAACTTGTCAGGTAATGAAAAAAGATTTAGATTATCTACACAGCCACTTACCGGAACAGGCAGGCTTCAGGAAGTATAAATCATGTGCAGACCAAATTGCAACGCTTCGCATCATCATAGAACAGAGTATAGAATGGCAATCAGCTCTCTGCCTCAACTTCATCGACCTTGAGAAGGCCTTTGATAGCGTCGACTGACAAGTAATTTGGAAACTGCTTCATTACTACGGAGTACCGCAAACCTTTATCCGCCTCATTCAACAACTATATGAAGATGCCACATGCCAGCTAAGTAATTCACAATGGGAAGCTCAGTGACTCCTTTGCAGTGAAGTGAAGATAGGAGTGAAACAAGGTTGCCTACTATCCTCCATGATATTCCTTATTGTGGTCGACTGGATCATGCAACAAACAGTAGGCAGCGAGAAGAGGGGATACACTGGACTGTGGAAAAGAACCTAGAAGACTTGGATTTCGCCGATGACTTATGCCTAATGTCACACAAACTTGAAGATCTGCAGGCAAAAACTAACAAGTTGATAGAAGAGGCAGCTAAGACGGGACTTCAAGTGAATATAGAGAAGACAGAAGTGATGAAGATACCGCACCACCACCATCAACAACAACAACAAACTCCAATCACCATCAACGGGAGAAACTTAAAGGAAGTAACCTCCTTCACCTACACCTATCTAGGAAGCACTGTTTCCACTACAGGCGGAACGGACGAGGACGTCAAAGTCAGAATCGGAAAAGCAAGACAGGCGTTCATTAGCCTGAAACCAGTGTGGAGATCTTCTGCACTCAGCATGAAGCGTGAACAAGATCCGGATTTCCAACACCAACGTCAAGTCAGTGCTCTTGTATGGTTCAGAGACTTGGCGCGCCACGAAAGGCATTTCCAATAAACTACAGACATTCATCAACAACTGCTTACGCTGGCTCGCTGCTGAAGATCAGATGGCCAGAAAGAATAAGCAACAAGGAACTCTGGCTGGCTGGCAGCGAACCAACCAAGAACCTATCACGCAACAAATATGCAGGAGGAAGTGGAGATGGATTGGGCATGCACTGAGAAGGCCGACGGAGGACATCACGCGTCAGGCCCTCGAGTGGAATCCCCATGGGAAGCGACGAGTTGGACGTCCGAGGGTGACATGGAGGAGGTCGTGCGAGGAGGAAATGAGAGCTTCTGGGCTGTCGTGGAACCAGGTTCAAAAGATCTCAGAGAACAGAGGTCACTGGAGACGTGCTACTGAAGCCCTATGTCCCACTAGGAACCCAAGGGACTAATAAATAAATAAATAACACAGCCACTTGAAATAGTGATCAGTATTTGATATAAATTCCCTTAGTTTTAAGAGTTATATATTGTTTTGATATCAAGAAGCAATGTTCAGTTTTATGTTCTATTGAAATGTTGAAATGGTGTTTTTACGTTAGCATCACTTTACTTAGTGAGGCATTTTAGTGTAAAGATTTTTAGAGACATCATTAGATAATCATAAAAAACTCTAAACTTTGATTTCCTATCAGAATTTTAAACTTTTTTTTCACATGCTTCAGCGAAAATCTTGTTAACTTATCCGAGGTTTGACCGGATGAGTTGTGAAGAGTGAATAGTTTAGTTTTGGGGAGCTACCTTTTTCATAAGCAGAAAATAGCCATTTTCTTACTTCCAGTAGTTGCAACGAATAATTTCGGTGTATGAAAACTAATTTCAAAACGGATTTAATTCTCAAAAACAAAAAAATATTTCAAGTTGTTATTCATCGTAGACTAACATCAGTTGGAGAGGAACAAAAGAAACCTGGGAGCACTGGACAGCTGTTTCGTCCTAGTATGGGACTCCTCAGCAGTGTGCAACCATGACCCCACCATCCAGGGATCGAACTCGCTACCCTCAGGTTCCGTGGTCAGCATGTTGCCGTTGAGCCACTGGGCCAGAATCCAATGGTCCATATTTCCAACTTCTGTTAGCTCACGATATGCCGCAATCGCCACCCAATGTCATCGTTGAGTAACTGTCCTCACGATCATCAGGCTTTGCCCCCATCAGTCACGACTTCTCATTGGAACTACGGGAATCACCTCTCGAAGCTAGTCACCAATGAGCACCAGTGAAGAGTTACTTTTCCCAGCGATATCATTTTCAAGCTCTACGGTCGTATATAAATATTCTTCTCACATGGTATAATCGAAACAGAGTTTCATTCAAAAATACTTTATAAAACATTCCTTTTCTGTTGTTATTTGAATATAGTGGTACTTATATGCAGTTGTACAGTTTGAGAATGATATCGTTAATGAGTAC